AGTTAATTCTGGGAAGTAGGCACTATTATATAGTGTTTCAACCTCGTTGTATAATGATAATCATAATAAAGGATTAATTTGCATATTAAAGTTTTGTGTTCCCCCCCCCCCCCCAATTTCATACATATTTGTTTTTCTTAATAGAGAATGGTCATCAATCTAATTGTTTTATATACACTCATTGTCAAAACTTAAGGAAGTTGTACCTTTTAGCATGTATATCGGGATTAAGACAATAACTCTGAAAGATACACTCATGGACAAAACTTAAAGAAGTTGTACCTTTTAACGTGTATATCGGGACTCAGACAATAACTCTGAAAGATACACTCATGGACAAAACTTAAGTAAGTTGTACCATTTAACGTGTATATCGGGATTCAGACAATAACTCTGAAAGATACACTCATGGACAAAACTTAAGGAAGTTTTACCTTTTAACGTGTATATCGGGATTCAGACAATAACACTGAAAGATACACTCATGCACAAAACTTTAGGAAGTTGTACCTTTTAGCATGTATATTGGGATTCAGATGATAACTCTGAAAGATATTACAGTGACCTATATTGGAAACACACGAGATAGCCAAGTGTAAGAAAAATACCTCTTTCTTCTTAAAAAAATTGACGATCTGCAACTTCAGAGACTTTCCAGACCACCAGTACAATAACGACCAGACCACCAGTACAGTGACGACCAGACCACCATGACGACCAGACCACCAGTACAATAACGACCAGACCACCAGTACAGTGACGACCAGACCACCATGACGACCAGACCACCATTACGACTAGACCACCAGTACAGTGACGACCAGACCACCAGTACAGTGACGACCAGACTACCAGTACAGTGACGACCAGACCACCATTACGACTAGACCACCAGTACAGTGACGACCAGACCACCATGACGACCAGACCACCATTACGACTAGACCACCAGTACAGTGACGACCAGACCACCAGTACAGTGACGACCAGACCACCATTACGACTAGACCACCAGTACAGTGACGACCAGACCACCAGTACAGTGACGACCAGATCACCATTACGACCAGACCACCATGACGACCAGACCACCATTACGACTAGACCACCAGTACAGTGACGACCAGACCACCATTACGACTAGACCACCAGTACAGTGACGACCAGGCCACCAGTACAGTGACGACCAGACCACCATTACGACTAGACCACCAGTACAGTGACGACCAGACCACCATTACGACTAGACCACCAGTACAGTGACGACCAGACCACCAGTACAGTGACGACCAGACCACCAGTACAGTGACGACCAGACCACCAGTACAGTGACGACCAGACCACCATTACGACCAGACCACCAGTACAGTGACGACCAGACCACCATTACGACCAGACCACCAGTACAGTGACGACCAGACCACCATTACGACTAGACCACCAGTACAGTGACGACCAGACCACCATGACGACTAGACCACCATTACGACCAGACCACCATGACGACCAGACCACCAGTACAGTGACGACCAGACCACCATTACGACCAGACCACCAGTACAGTGACGACCAGACCACCATTACGACCAGACCACCAGTACAGTGACGACCAGACTACCAGTACAGTGACGACCAGACCACCATTACGACCAGACCACCAGTACAGTGACGACCAGACCACCATGATGACTAGATGAGGCAGGGCGGAGCACCAAGGCCCAGAGGTCAGGGATGGGCCACAATGGAGACCGTTGTCAAGATAAGGCGGATGACCTTCGGTGAGATTTCCTGCAAATATACTTTAGTTAGCGGACACCTACCTTGACATACTTGGGCCATCTTTGTGGATCTACCAACCTTATCTTCCTCTGCTTGGTTACATGCTTATATAACCCCCTTATGGCCAACCTGCCTATCTAGGACATCATTTTAGTTAAAATGTTTTCAACAACAAATCTTTTTAATATACATCTTTCTGTTTTACATAGATAATCCCTGAGTCTAAGAAAAATGGAGTAAAACAGAAAGTGTCCTAAAGCAAAATGGAGATCAGTCTGTATAGTGTTGAGTGGAGAGACATAACATCCACTGTGTCTCTTCTAGTGATCTTGTTTTCTAACGATATTCTCAACTTTATACCCACTTGTAGAACTGTAGGTATAAGTAGACATAGCTCTTATTGGTCACTTAGTCGGAGAGAAACTTGCAAATGCTTCACTTGTTTGGGTGATGTCCCATCTAATATTCTATATACAGTTACGAGCGTCATGCGTTCTTAATAATTCTTCATCTCTGTCACCGTTTGCTTTTTTTTTTTGGAATGGCGCTCTCCTATTGGTTGGCTACGATCACGCCACCCTTGCCCCCCCCCCCCCCCCCCCCCCCATCATGCCCCCCCCCCCACTCGCTTTTTGGCTTTGGTAACTATTGTGTTGGAGCGGGTGGCTCCTTAAATAATCTATTGTTAACAATACCTCATTATAGGTCCGCAAATATCGAAAGTATAGGTATGTAGCTTTTGTACTATTAAGGTGTATATATACACATACTTATGTACATATGTAAGTACTATTATCATTAGGGATATATATGTCACATCTACATAAATGTAGATATAATACTATATAATCTACTAATATATGCATTTATATAAGGCGCCAATTTATAATTGTAACAAATAGTATTTGAATAAAAACATTCAATCGGGGGTAAAACACGGGCGTTGCCCGGGTCATTCGGCTAGTATATAAATAAAGGGCGCATCTCCCGTCAAAATAGACGCGAAATCTAAGCGTCATCTTCTTATGACTTTGTCATCGAACTGAGTCCGCTAGTTTGTCCGCTAGAGACGGTTATTTGAAAGATCGTCTTTTTAGGCCTAGATCATAATTGATAATGGAATGACATATCCTAAATGACACTCCGGTTTCTTCAGATACTTCTCTGATTCGGTCACGTCTTTTATTTTTTCTATATTTTCAGGAAAACTCACCGTTTTTTGGCCGTCTACACCTTTTGTCGTTTTTCTCGACCGTTCGGCCATCTTTAAACCTTTTGAGACCCTTTCAAATGCTGTTATTCTTTTAAAAGAGTCTTTTCAAATGTATTTCGTAACAAATCAAAGCTTTCACTGATTTCTGATTTACCGATTCTTAAACAGAATTTCAAACAATTACTTTGTTCCATTTTTACTTTAGTCGCGCTCTGTCACTACACATTTCTCCTCAATACACCTATCCCCCGATTTACACGGTAGATACGTTCCTGAGAAAAACGTGTAAATCGGGGGATAGGTGTACACAGAAATAAAAATAAAATGAATTGACAGGTTAAAATATGTAGTCAGCACATAAGCTCTGGAGATTCCTCGTGAGATGTGTACACAGTGCATGTGTTCAATCACAGTAGCATTTAGTATAGTGCGATAAAAACAACAAAAAAAAAACTTATTTGGAAAACCGTGTAAAAGCGAAAACGTGTAAAACAAGTACCGTGTAAATCGGGGGATAGGTATACTAAAAAATAGACAAACAGATATAAAAACAATTTCAATATTTAAAAAAATATAAAGAATCAAACGAGATACAACCATATTGAACAAAAATCCACTCAAAGACAGAACAACGAAGTCTGAATTAATCGAGAAACTGAGTAAATTAGACAGTTAGAACAAAAGAAAAACTTCCCATTGCCGTGCTGTTGACTTTCCCACAGTAACCATTGAAGAAATGATCATTCCCTCTGAACTCCGACCTCTACCATCCAAGTTGTTTGGAGAAAAGATGCCCATAAATATGATGGGAACTGGTTAGGAAGGTAAACCTGCTGATCGATCAATTCTGTAATAATTAAAAATCAATGGTTAATTGATATTTATTCCAATAGATGGCGCAAGCCATTAGAAACTTTTTGTTTAACGATCAGGAAATACCTTTTTTCTTAATTTATATACCTGATCTAAGTACAAATTCACTTTTGTACTATTTTTCACATTGATTGGCGTTCTGACGCCCTTCTAGCTTAAATACCTGTTTCATGGTTTTTCAAGATGCCCCAAAGATAAACTTTTTTGGTCGTTGAGGTACAGCTTGCACCACGCTGACGAGGGCCAACACCCCAAAACACGTACGTGGTTAGCTTTTCTTGATTAATCAAGAAACGGTATTTGGACAATTCTGGAATAATTAAAAATCAACGATTAGTTGATATTTATTCCAATAGATGGCGCAAGCCATTATAAACTTTTAGTTTAATGATCAGTAAATGCCTTTTTTCTTAATTTATATACCTGTTCTAAGTACAAATTCACTTTTGTACTATTTTTCATATTGATATGTTCATTTCAAACATGTACAGTACGGATGATTTAGAAAGATATTGAAGTATGGTCTTATTTGAAGAGAAAAGGGATACATATTGCAGTTAAATCTGTCTAATGCCCCCCCTCTTGAGACTCACCAAAATAGGGTGCTATAGAGAGGGGGTGCTATAGACAGGTCACTTTTAATGTAAATCGCATCTTACTACGTGTTTTAAATCGGGCGCTATAGAGACGGAGGCGCTATTTAGAGGGGGCGCTATAGAGAAGTTCAACTGTATATTGTAATGATGCATATTTTAAGAGGTGCCTCTTTTTGTATATATTGTTACGCCGCTGCTGTGTCAAGGATGTTTTTTTTTTTGCTTATCCCTAGTATACGTGGTACAGGCCATGATATCATGGTGGGTAGAAGTAGGCGACTGCTTTTACTGTAAATGCACCACATGTCTACACATGTGAAAAGCAGTTCGACTTTTGCACTTATAAATGTGCCAGAGCTTCGTATCAAGGATAGTTGAATAAGCATGCAGGATCGGTTAGGATCTCTGTTCGTCTGTTATTTATTTACCTTCGTGTATTATGAAGAACAAGTAAGGAAAAATAACGACTATTCCTATCCTTAGGGATGAAGTATGAAAGGATGAATTGTGAAGAGTAATGATAAACGGAAAAATAAAAGTGTCCAGGGATGGGAATCGAACCCACAGTGTTCCGCTTACCGGGCAGATGCCATGTCCACTAGGCTACCTCGGACATGAAGAACAAGTGAATAAAAAACATATGAAGAACAAGTAACATACAGGGAGAAACAGTCAACAACAGGGAGGATGAGGTCACTGTTGACCATCAGCTACTACCACGGCGCTGCTTACTTATCGTAACAGTAAATATGCAAATAAGAAAACATTAAAATCAAAAATTCATATTAATACAAACACCTGACCTTTTAATTATGTTTCACGAAAGAAAACATAAAATATCTATATACTGATCCTGCTTACCACCACGGCACTTTTACTTGTAACAGTAAATATGCAAATAAGAAAACATTAAAATCAAAAAGTCATATATATATACAAACACCTGATCTTTTTATTATTAATTTTAATTATTTTTCACGAAAGAAAAAAAACATAAAATATATTTATATTGACTCTGCTTACCACCACGGCGCTGCTTACTTATCGTAACAGTAAATATGCAAATAAGAAAATATTAAAATCAAAAAAGGCATATCTTGACCACGAGATTTGTGATTTTAATACCAACACCAGACCTTTTTATTATTATTTTTTAGATTATTTTTTCATATAATAAAACATAAAATATCTTTATAATACAATATAATCCGGCTTATGATTGTAAAACGTTATTTGAAAATTATCCCGCATGTGTTTCTTTTGAACGAAAAATCGAAATTTTTATTTTTAAAGAGAAATAACGATTATTTCTAACCTTAGAGATGAAGTATGAAAGGATGAATTGTGAAAAGTAATGATGAACGGAAAAATAAAAGTGTTCAGGGATGGGAATCGAACCTACAGTGTTCCGCTTACCAGGCAGATTCCATGTCCACTAGGCTACCCTGGACATATTTTTCCGTTCGTAAATATTATATAATATCTTTATATATTAAGAAAGAAAAAAAGGCATCTCCTTATTGTGTACTTGAAAGTTTCTGATGTAACACGATAAGGAGATGCCCTTTTTCTTAATTTATGCACCTTATCCCAGTACAATATCACATTTGTACTATTTTTTTCCCACAATCTTTATATATGTAATTCATGTTTAAAAAAAAAGGTAAACACTGAACAACAATAATTGAATTAACATTTAAGATTAACTTTTTATTTTCAAGGCAATTTATAATTAAATTTTGTGTTATTTTCAAATTTATATACCACAAGCCATCTTGTAGATTACCATGAACTCCTTGAGGTGAAAAAAACTTTAAAAATTAGAAATTCAAACAAAATCATCCATCATGTTGGTTCTGAAGGCCATGTAAAGTTTTTGGTAGAAATTTGGATTCTTAGGAAGAATTCCTTCCTTTGTATAATAACAATGTTTTTTTATCTTCTCATTTTTCTAAGAAATAATAGAGGAATCTGTGCCATTTTTTTTATAACTTCTATAGAACGCGCCGTCTTAGCTTTTATCTTTTGTAACCTCTCTTTATACGTAGTACACTCATGGACAAAACTTAAGGAAATTGTACCTTTGAGCATGTATATCGGGATTCAGACAATAACTCTGAAAGATATTACAGTGACCTTTATTGAAGATACACGAAATAAGCAAGTGCGAACAGCCTCTGACTCCTTCAAAAAAAAAAAAAAACCCAGACGATCGGTGTCATCAAGACTTTCCAACTACTTAAATTTTGTCTATGAGTGTATATTGGAAGAATTTTTGAAAGAATATTATGTGTAACATTATATGGCGTGACACTTTTCACATTAATTTGCATTATAGGTAGAGTTTAAAACATATTGATGAAAAATATATTTTAACAAATATATACGTTGTGTTTATGAGCTTTTTTTAAAGCAAAACTTCAACAAGGCTTAGAATCGAATGTCGTTCTAGATCTATTTTTAGAACAGACGGATTAATGTTCTCTTATATAAGTACGTATAAATTAATACAAAGCAATAACGAACCTTCTATTTATAACGAATGAAATCTTATATCCATAGTTTACTTAAATACCATTTCTAAGATTCCACCCTTTAGTGTAGTATATAAAAGCAGCATGATCCAATACAGTATTGGTGCTCTAAAGAAGCGGTCTGGTAGATTAAAAAAAATTGGCGAAACCGCTGGGAGGGTTCACCACTGATGAGCCAAGCCCTTCTAATATTGTTTTTCATCACAGTAAGGACAGTAGAAGTTTGATATATTTGTGAAAAGAAACATTCGTGTCTTAATGTCTTAATTCGTTATATATTGATGGCGCGTTATTGCTTTGTATTAATTTATATCCAATACTGTAGGATTGAATCTTAGTTATGGAATTTAAGCAAACTATGGACATAAGCTTTGAGACGACAGTAGAATTACATTTAAATGGACAATATATATAGAACAGTAGAACGTCGTACGGAATAAATTTAAGGATATTTAAACCGAAATATTTCTCTTGAAATATTCGCATTTAACTTTGTTATCCTTTGCCCCAAAGCAACAACTACATTTAACTATGAAGCGCCTGCAGTTAGAACAGAAGAGATTTGATTTATTTGTGAAAAGAAACATTCGTGTCTTAATGTCTTCATTTGTTATATATATAAGTAGGTATTATATTAAAAAACAATATAAGCAATACTTACCTTACATTTTCTTATTCTCAAATAAGCAATTTAGTCTGATATTTGTCTATTTTCAATTTCTAAGTCTAATTCCTTCCAGATATCTAGCAATTATCAGCAAACAAATCTAAGGCAATAGATTACTATAAATTTTTTCGATCATCATTATGTAAGGACCAGTCAACAATTGAATGACTTTGAGACAAAGAGTAAAGCCAGTTCAATTTCTATGTAAATAACAAAAGATGATTATTACCTTACCCAATTGGGAGAATCTGTATGGGGCATGTCCCTAATAAAGGCTTTGTGTGTGTGTGTGTGTATATCTACCAATCATTTGAATATCACAGAATATGTAAATTAGTTATTGATTTAATTTGAATAGGATTTACATAGCCAATATTTTACACTGCAGCTTCATCTATACACCGACTTGTAAAATTTATGATTTTTTATTAGAAGTTTTTTAATGGAAAAGAGTGAATGTGCCCTTTGAACTTTTCTTATTTATATATGCCGCTCGAGTGAATGTTTCCCCGAAAGGATCTTGTTTTTTGGCCATTAAATATGATGCATCAATATTATTATCATCATTTTCTGAATAAAAATAAATAGGTATTACACTCATGGACAACACTTAAGGAGGTTGTACCTTTTAGCATGTATATCGGGATTGAGACAATAACTCTGAAAGATACACTCATGGACAAAACTTAAGGAAGTTGTACCTTTTAGCATGTATATCGGGACTCAGACAATAACTTTGAAAGATACACTCATGGACAAAACTTAAGGAATTGTACCTTTTAGCATGTATATCGGGATTCAGACTATAACTCTGAAAGATACAATCATGGACAAAACTTAAGGAAGTTGTACCTTTTAGCATGTATATCGGGATTCAGACAATAACTCTGAAAGATACACTCATGGACAAAACTTAAGGAAGTTGTACCTTTTAGCATATATATCGGGATTCAGACAATAACTCTGAAAGATACACTCATGGACAAAAGTTAAGGAAGTTGTACCTTTCAGCATGTTTATCGGGATTGAGACAATAACTCTGAAAGATACACTCACGGACAAAACTTAAGGAAGTTGTACCTTTTAGCATATATATCGGGATTCAGACAATAACTCTGAAAGATACACTCATGGACAAAACTTAAGGAAGTTGTACCTTTCAGCATGTTTATCGGGATTGAGACAATAACTCTGAAAGATACACTCATGGACAAAACTTAAGGAAGTTGTACCTTTTAGCATGTATATCGGGATTCAAACAATAACTCTGAAAGATATTTGATACACATGGCTTTTATTGAAGACACACGAGATAACCAAGCGTAAACCAAATTGACACTGTCGTCTTAAAAAAAAAAATTGACGACTGCCGACATTAAAGACTTTCCACTTACTTAAGAGAGTCGGTGGACGAGTGGGCCCTCGATTCCCGAAGGCCATGAACCGGGATCGAATCCCGCGTTGAACCCTTTGTTTAAATATGTGAATAACCTTCACATTCATTGTTGTATTATAAATATCATAAACTAGGTTGTTCTTGTTGAGCGGTACCTAGTAAAGTTATTTTTGAACAGGAACAAGATTCCACTTAAGTTTTGTCCATGAGTATAGTTCAGTATTTGTTTAATTATGATAATTTTAGTGAGAGAGGTATCCAATTACTAATGATCAGCTAAATGTTAAAAAATGATCATTTTAGCGCTGAAAACTGTCATTTGTATAGAAGTGTCCTCTAGCAGGAGTGTCCTCTCACGGAGTATGTTCTACTGTATAGAGGTATCCTCTAGCGGGAGTGTCCTCTCATGGAGTATGTTCTACTGTAGAGATATGTCTTATAGCAGGAGTGTCCTCTCACGGAGTATGTTCTACTGTATAGAGGTATCCTCTAGCGGGAGTGTCCTCTCATGGAGTATGTTCTACTGTAGAGATATGTCTTATAGCAGGAGTGTCCTCTCACGGAGTATGTTCTACTGTATAGAGGTATCCTCTAGCGGGAGTGTCCTCTCATGGAGTATGTTCTACTGTATAGAGGTATCCTCTAGCGGGAGTGTCCTCTCATGGAGTATGTTCTACTGTAGAGATATGTCTTATAGCAGGAGTGTCCTCTCATGGAGTATGTTCTACGGTATCACAGGCATAGCTCTTGCAGCTACCAAGGCTCTGCTAGGCAGCCACTATGGCACAGAGAAGAGTTATCTATAGGAGATATCAATCTATGGTTCTTGTAATTAAGGTCCTCTAGGGGTTTTTCCATCAGGACATCAATGAGGATCATCATATGGGTCATCTCTTAACAACCGCTTGGGCTGGAATGGATCTCCTTGGTTTGATCCATCGGATCTCTTTGGAGAGAGCAGTTTCGTTCTTTCTCCACCTCACACTCCATTTATCTAATGTGTATTTTTGTTATTTT